ACACAAGTTTTTACTACTGTTGCCCAATGGGTTAAATATTTCTCTCAACCAAGATTACATAGGGGGAAAGGGATTAAAGGGGTTTAGACATGGTCTGATACAATTATCTCAAGAGTCCTTTCTGATTTCTGCTGGAGCCAGGCTTAATCCATAAGGTAGAACTTTTACAGGTCTTGTGAGAAGGGTCCAACTCCTTCAGATCACGAGATTTTTGTCAGCCCTTGTTGCCCAAGGTTTATAGCTCAAATTGATCCAATTCTTTTTTGCTGACAGCTGGGTCTGGGCCCCTTCACATATCCTCTCTGAGTTGCTGGAACTTCTGGTCAGTTTACTGGATAATTTCTCCACAGCCAAGACAAAAGAGGAAGAGGTACCATCTTCATATTCAGAGTTGGCGAATGGTTTCATCCACTGTTGGTGGCCCATTGTCTTTTCAAATGAATGTTCTCAATGGGTTGGTGTACACCGCTGGTGTGCTCTGTACAAATTTCCGCCACGTGGGTTGTAGGCATATGTAAAGTAAGATACACAGGTATCCCCAGAAATGCCAAGGCAGTGGAAAGAATTCAAAAGTTTATTTAGAAGGCCAGAACATGAGAAACTTACAAATACCTCACAGTGCTATTGAAGCACTGGGCCCCGGGGAGAAAAGGCAAGTTCCCGTCCTCTCCAGGGCCTTTAGTATCCTCTGTCTTTCTCCCCCGCCTTCCCAAGGCCTCTGTACATGTCTGTTAGGGTTATCTCTCTCCAGCATAGCAGAGAGAGATATAACACAGTTCTCTCTGGAACCCCCTCTGGACTGCAGAAGGGGAAAAAAAACATCTAACCCTCTTGAGAAGGCACTTTGCAGGCTTCCTAAGTGAAAATGAGTTTCTAGCTTTCCCATTACAAATTCTTCCAAAAACACGACTATTCCTACAGCATAGAACTTTGCCTGGATCTGTGTGTAACTGCATGTTATTCAGATCATAATAAATCATCTCATGCACAGCCAATTCTCTCAGGGAATTCTCTATTGCAGTCCATTTGCCTAGGCAGTATATAACAACTTCCTTGTAGGGATACCTTTCCTTCACGCTTGACAGGAGTCATCTCCAGAAGGTAAGGGCTTGTGTAGTTTTTCCAATCACCTTGTCAGTGCCTGCTTCCTTAGCAAGTGATCCCAGCTGCTTGGTTTCTCTACCCTCTAATTCCAAACTGTTAGCCCAATTATCCCAGCATCAGCGCAGCCAGGTGGTAATGCACTCACCTGGATGACAGCTGAAATGTCTTCATATTTCCCACAGCTCACTCAAGGATAGGCATCAAGTGGTGGTTACCTCTTGTTCTGTCTCTTCCTTCTGTTCCTGTGATGGCCCTGCTTCACCCTCCTTATCCTCCTTTACTAAATGAGATGGCTTTCATGTGCATTTCTTCTTGTGTATAGGGGTGACTGATACCGGCGCAGGTTGGTTCTCTGGTTCAGTTGCAGGGCCTGTCGCAGGGGCTGGAGTAGCCACAGGGCTTGTTGTCTTGTCATATCTAGAGAACCCTTGAGGATACTGAGCAGTGCTGAATATGGCTCAGGAGGCCTGGGCCAGGCCCCAGCACAATGCAGTGATTTGTGTCTCTAGAATTGCCAGGGTGACAGCATACTTTTTCCAAATATTTCACTACTTTTTCCGGATTCTGCATTTGTTCAGGGGTGAAGTTCCAAATTATTGGAGGCACCCATTGTCCTAGATACTTGGTACTCCAGAAGCTAAGGACTTCTGTCCCTCTTCCAATCACTTTGTCAATGCCCCCTTTCCTAAAAAGTGATCCCAGCTGCTTGGTTTCCCTACCCTCTAATTCCAAACTGCTGGCCCCATTATCCCAATCAAGTGGTTACCTCTTCTTCTGCCTCTTTATGTTTTTGTGATGGCCCCACTTCATCCTCCTTTACTAAACAAACTGTCTTTCATGTCCATTTCTTTTTGTGTATAGGGGCAACTGATACAGACACGAGTTGGTCCTCTGCATCACCCATTGCCAGTGTCTGAGTAGCCACAGTGTTTGTTGTGGGGGCTCTCCTCAAATAATTTAACTTTTAAGACAGGATGCTAGTCAACATAATAACTTTAGGAAAAAAAAAAGCTATGACTCACTCTGCTTCTCTGGCAAACTCAATTGAGAATTTTTTATTTCCCTAGTGCTTCCTCTAATTTGGAGCAGGACAACAATATCACAGATGGGCCAATGCATATTGTCTACTGATCTTATTTTTGATGCAAGTATTTCAGAATAGCTATAGTAAGAAATATTTTTTCAATTTATACAAGAAGAGAAATGGATTATCTTGAAGAAACTGACTGTCTGCCTTGGAGACATGCTTATGAGAGTTGTCTATGCTGGCTTATTATAACCTATGTGCTCTGCAATACACTTGGAAATGTTCAAGAGCACTGCAGGCATTGCCAATTCTTTAGTAGGACAGACCAACATGAGCATAAAACACCATGTCTCAGCACAATCAGTGAACTTCAGTTATAAAATTACAGAATTGCCCCAAACAGCTAATTTAGACCACACTCTCATCTCCAGGTCTCATCACAGATGCTGCACTTTTGCAGCCAACCACAAATGCAAACTTCTGCTGCATGGCATGCCATGAGGCGCTCTTGATAATTGGTCTTTGAAATGCTTTGGTTCAATGTCTAGTCAGAATGAAGTCATAAAACTGAACAAGCTGCTGAAGCACCACATCCTTTCCTGTAACCATGCAGAAAACTGCTTTAGGGAACAGGAAAAACAGAAGCAAATCCTCTGAACATATCATTTCCCTGTAAGAGGATTTGTTGCCTTGTTGGACCTCCATACTTAAAATCCCTCTGGCAGCTTGGGGGCAGAGGTCCTGAAAAGATGCACTAGCTACAGACTAGTGGAGAATGGTCAGGGAAGCTGGTGTGTGGGGCTGTAGAGGCCAATGAGCCCCACTGAGGTGACAAGCTGACAGGGATTTTTAACAGCAGGGCTAGAGCTGCGGCATACAAACCCAGCGCTGCCTCAGAAGCTGCCTGAAGCAGAGGCTGCTGCCCCCGGGAGCCATAGTCCAAATACGACAGGAGTGGCTATCAGTGGAGGGGCTCAAAACAGATTGTTCACAGGCCAATTTGGTCGGCAAAATGTCCGATTTATTTAAAGAAGGATACTCATTATATAGTGCTTCTACACCCCAACGCATGATTCTTCTTCACACAGCATTGGATACATAAGAGAAACATACTTTGTTGTCCGGTGTTAATTGGAGCATAGCAGGTGTCCATAAGAGATGAAAAAACTTGTTTACCTGCCAAAACTCCTCCTTGACCTTGGCAGGGAGCCTTCTTTGTTCTAGCTTCAGAGCCTGTAGCCATGTTAGCTACGCAGTTGTTTTTACTGTCTGCACCCAGCCATGCTAAGGCCCTCAAAATGCAGGACAAATTGCTCACCCAATTTTGCCCTGTCTACAAGTGGCAGATTTCGCCCTGAATGGTCCGCTTCCGCTCGGCAGCCACCGGTCAGCTGACCTCAAGGGAAATCAGATGGTGGCAGCCCCGCTTCCTTTTCCTCCTGCGGAGCCACCCGGCCCTTGTCCCGGCCCCACTCCCATTACGGTCGCAACCATGCACATATCCTCCCCAGCATGCAGCGCGCGGTGTCAGGACGGCCGAGTTGTACATCTGAGGAAAGGAGCGGGGCATCACCCTTCTCTCTGCCAACCACGGGACAGTGAGAAAGGAAGGCGCGATATCGCGAGCATAACCAGCGGAGAAGAGGCCACAGCTGAAGAAACCAGGGCGACAGCCAATGGGGAAAGCACCCCGCGGGGTGGGAAGGTGGGGCTTCGGGAGGCTGCAGGGCAGGGCTGGGGCCGGCATCGAGTTGCCACAGCGCCACCATCGCTTGTAAACAGATCCTGTTTTGCGTGATGCGGATGAATTATCTGTGTGCGGGCATAGAGCGTTATCCGCTGCAGCGGCAGGTCGATGATCAGAGGCAGTAGCGGCAGGATTCCCCGGCAGCAGACGCGTGGCAGGCACAGAGCAGAGAGGAAGTGATTCCTCTCTGTCCTTCCTCCCCACCCCCGCTACCTCGATCGGGATCCAGGGTATCCTCCTTCCTCAGTGCCTTCCTTCTCCCCTTGCCGCTAAGATGGCTGATGGTGAGCAGTGAGGTGGAGCTGCGGAGAGCTGCTGCCGGCCGGCGTGCGGTGGCGGGGCAGCTGATAGGACGGGACAGGAGCGGGGACGTGGGGTGTGCGTGTGGGAAGTCACGCAGCGCCATGTCCTCCTTCACCTTGGAGGAAACGCTGGAGGCAGACTGGGTGACCGTGAGTCCTCACGCCTTCCAGGAGTGGGAGAAGCACAAATTTGTCTTCATCGTGACCTGGAACGAGATCGAGGGCAAGTTCGCCATCACCTGTCACAACCGCACGGTGCAACGCCAGCGCAGTGGCTCCCATGAGTTCTACCAGCCCCGAGGCCAGAGCCATCCCCAAGGGCAGCATCCTCACAGTGAGCAGGGGCCCGACCGGGGGCCCGGACTCTATCCTGATGCCTGGCTCCTTGCACCTTCCTGCAGAGGTGGGTCTGCAGAGCTCCGAGCGGAGTGCGGTGGCCGAGGCACTGCCGAAGATCCCGCTGCATGCTAAGAGTAGCTCGGCTCGGAGGCCGCTGAGGGGTCTGGAGGCGGCACGTGCCGCCGAAGAGATAAAAGTACTGGAACTGGGGAAGGAGGAGACCGTCTTGCTGTCGCTGCCGCCCTTGCCGCTGCAGGCAACTGAGTCGGCCGCTCCTGACGGGGATCCCGTGGAGGAAGAGTGCAGTGGGGCCAGCCTCTTCTCCTTCCAAGACTTGTGGGCCGTGCACCAGTAGCTGTGCTCAGTGAACTCGGAGCTGGAACCTTACCTACCTGCCTTCCCTGAGGAGCCCTCAGGCATGTGGACAGTGCTGTTTGGAGCCCTGGAGCTATCCAAGCAGGAGATGGACACTCTCTGCTACAAACTGCAAGTTTATTTGCTCCACAGCTTGGATACCTGCAGCTGGAAGATTCTTTTGCAGGTGCTCTTCACTGAGACTGACGACCCTGAACAGTATTATGAGAGCCTGAGTGAGCTGCGACCAAAGGGGTACGAGGAGATGCTGCAGCGAGCCCGCAGGCGAATCCAGGAGGTGAGGCTACCACATGGTCCAGATATCTCCACCTTAGTGTTACCTTTTCCTTACTCTATGATGTCTTCTTTACTTGTTCTCTCCAGATGCTCCCCTTTACCTTTACGGAATTGGTCGAACCATGGGACAAAAAAAAAGTAAAGGGAAACTGTCTAATTTAAAAAATAAAAAGAGCAAGCATTGATAATCAAAGTAAGAAAAGGATACACAAAGTCTCGAGTTTCTATAAGTTTTTGAATAGGAGTTTATTATATGGTAAAAGCAAGCAGCCGACTGGGTGACAGAAATGGGGACAAGTTTCCCAAATCTGCACACCTACTACCGTGTACATTTGGCATTTATCTTAGCTACTTCATGCATATTAATTATATCATATACATATACATTTTACAGTTTTTTGCTAAGTATTTAATATATGGGTTTTCTTACAGCTAAAGCTAAATAGTTATCTCTACAACCAGTCATAATTCATGCATTCTTGGACAAACAGGCACCTAAAAGATTTAAAGTTCTACCATATTTTATTCTTAGGATAGTAGGGAGGTTTTAGGGCCCCTTGACCTTGTAAGGGTCTGTTTTATTTCTTTACGGGGGTGTAATTAAGTTTTACAATCCGTTTGTTTTATTTTGATGTAATCACCCATTTGTTTCATGAATCACAATTATTTTTCACAAGGAGGCTTAACCATTCCAAGGTTTCTAAGGCCAGGAAGGTGCAGGTTTTCCTAGTCATCTAAGTGTGGCTCTGTGGGGAGAAGTGGCAGCTCCACGAAATCCGCGGGACTTGAGGAGTTTAAAATATTACAGAGAGTTAGGCCTTTTCCCATGAGAACAGTAAGGCTAATTGGATGTTTCCATGGACACAGCCTTGAGTTTTAAGGAGTACAAGGGCGAAGCTGTTTGTGTGCAGGTGTTACATTCCTGGGTGTTTTTGCAAGAATATGTTTATATTGTGTGTGTGTGGGAAAGTAGAAGCGAGCAAACTGAATAAAAGCTGCTGCTTCTCTGGAGCAGCAGACATCCCTTTGTCTCATCACCCTGTTGTGTGTGTGTGTTCTTTTCTCCACGGACCAAGACCTATCGACATATACCCTATGACATGGCTCAGTACTTTATTCTGTGCAACGGAATGTAGATGTTTGTGAACAATAATCTGATGGATTTGGCAAGGTCTTGCTCCCATATTTCTGTTGTTGTGTTGCTTTACACCAGGATGTCCTGTCTGAATTTTTCTGTTAAATTGGAGCAACAACATGTGGTATTTATTTTGACAGTACAATTTAGGCACTTATGGCCAACAAGTCCTAGGTTCCTACAGTCTCTGGGTGCTGAATCTGTTATTTCAAGTGAAGTGATGTTTTCCAGTGAAATTAGAGTAACACTAGCTGAACAAAAGTTGTAAAATTCTTAGAGTTTGGATCTTAAAAAGTAAACTATCTGATCTTAGCGAGTATTTACTGCATTGGCATTGCTAGTGTGTGACAAGACTTGTATATTTTGGAGCACGCCACCTCTTTTTCTCATACCATATACTGTTTAGACACAATACTAAACATCCACTGGTCATCCACTGGTCAGATTATGTGACTAATACGTCTGTTCTAGAACAAGCAGCAATCACAAGTATTGAGGCCATGTTGCTGAGAACACAGCTGTGCTGGGCAGCACGTCTCAAGGATGAAGGACTACCGCCTCCCTAAGATCATGCTTTATGGTGAACTTGCCACCGGCTGCCGCAAGAGAGGAGCTCCGAAGAGAAGATACAAGGACTCCCTGAAACAACATCTCAGCCTTGACCATATTGATCAACATAACTGGTCTACTCTGGCCTCCAATCGGGAGGTCTGGAGACACACTATCTTTAATGCTGCTGATGCCTTTGAGAAAGCACACAGGATCACTCTTGAGGAGAAAAGACAATGCAGAAAGAATCGTGGTCTTGCAGAATATACCTCATAAGGAGTCTTTCTGCTGTGCCTTTTGCAACCAGACGTGTCTATCTCGTATTGGCCTTTTTAGCCACTAGCGCGCTTGTAACAAACGTGGGTAGAGCCCTTCCCAAATCTTCATTCGCGAAACCTACCCATGATACTGTTTAGAGGAAAGTAGTTGTTGGCCAGTACAAGTTTATTTCCAAACTGTTGTGTTAGGATATATCATTGGGATTTTTTTTTTTAATGGATGTTTAAAGGGCTGAATTTATTCTTGTTAATTTTGGTATACAGACGGTAATTAGTCTAATAGTCTTCTGCAGTAGTTTTAGTCCAGAGAATATGAAAACATATTGTCATGCACTTTTTTGTTTGACTGCATGAATGCTTGGGAGTGTGTGCTTAGATTCACTTGGATTTCTGCTCAACAGTTTTTATAAGGAGCTGTCTTAGTTTAACAAGATTACAACTTAGAAATTAAGAAACTTCAGGTGGAAGTGTGGAAAAGGAAAAGAACAGCTTTTTATTAAAAAAATCTGAATAAACAACAAATGGTGCAATCAAAAACTTTCAAAAGAAACAAAACAAAGTCCCAGTTCCCCAGGTGGGGGGTAGAAATCCGCGGCAACCCGGGGGGGGGGGGGGGGGGGAAAGGGGGGGGGAAGGCAGGACTGTCCTGGCAGTTCAACAACTGCTCGCAGCCACATGGACCCCCAGCAACCAGCAGCCGATGGCTTCACCATCATGGCTAGGCTTCACAAACAAAGATTTGGGAAGGGCTCTACCCACATTTGCTACAAGCGCGCTGGTGGCTAAAGAGACCAATGCGAGGTAGACAAGTTGGGTTGCAAAAGGCACAACAGAAAGACTCCTTGGATAGTATCGGCAAGACAATTCTTTCTGCGTTGTCTTTTCTCCTCTAGAGTGATCCTGCATGCGTTCTCAAAAGAAGCAGCAGCCTCAAAGATAGTGTGTCTCCAGGCCTCCCGATTGGAGGCCAGAGTAGACCAGTTATGGTGATCAATATGGCCAAGGCTGAGATGTTGTTTCATGGAGTCCTTGTATCTCCTCTTCCGGACTCCTCTCTTGCGGCAACCAGTGGCAAGTTCATCATAAAGCACAATCTTAGAGAGGTGGTAGTACTCCATCAGGGAGACATGTCCTGCCCAACGCAGCTGCGTTCTCAGCAACATGGCCTCAATACTCGTAACTGCTGTTTGTTCTAGAACAGACATATTGGTCACATAATCTGACCAGTGGACATTTAGGATTGAACGGAGACAGCGTTGATGGAAGCATTCTAGGAGACGCAGGTGGTGGCGGTAAATGACCCATGATTCGGATCCATATAAAAGAGTAGACAGCACTATGGCTTTGTAAACACTGATCTTTGTGCTTTTCTTCAGGTGTTTATTTCACCAAACTCTTTTATGGAGTTTTCCCAAAGCTCTATATGCCTTTGCTAACCTGTTGTCTATTTCTCCATCAATCTTACCGTCCGAGGAGATGAGGCTACCTAGGTAATTAAACTGCTGGACTGATTTGAGCTCTGATTGGCCAGTGGCGATATGGGAATGATGGAAGGCTTCCTGAGGTGCAGGTTGATAGAAGACTTCTGTCTTCTTCAAGCTGACTTCCAACCCAAAAAGCTCAGCAACCTCAGCAAAGCAGGATGTTAAACACTGCAGAGCTACTTCTGTGTGGGCGACGAGGGTGGCGGCGTCAGCATAAAACAACTCCTGGACAAGATGGTTTAAGGTCTTAGTGTGGGCTTTCAGTCGCCTTAGGCTGAATAGGCTTCCATCAATATGATATCGAATGTAGATACCATCTTCTTCATCAAGGTCTGCCGTGGCCCTTTGGAGCATCATGCTGAAAAAGATTGTGAATAGGGTTGGTGCAAGAATGCAGCCTTGTTTCACACCACTTGTTATTAGAAAGGGCTCAGAAAGTGCATCACCATATCTGACTTGGCTGCGCTGATCCTCATGAAGTGAGATGATCATTTTAAGGAACTTGGGGGACAACCTAAACGTTCCAAAATCTGCCACAGACCTTTTCTGCTCACAGTATCGAAAGCTTTGGTGAGGTCAACAAAGGTTACATAGAGTCCTTTGTTCTGTTCCCTACGCTTCTCTTGCAGTTGTCTGAGAACAAATACCATGTCTGTGGTACTCCTGTTGACTCTGAAACCACATTGGCTTTCAGGTAGAATTCCTTCTGCTATAGCGGGTTTTAGTCTGTTCAAGAGTATTCTTGCCAGGATTTTGCCAGCAAGGGAGAGCAGAGTAATACCACAGTAATTTGAGCAGTCTGATTTAATTCCTTTCTTCTTATACAAAGTGATGACGACTGCATCATGAACGTTTGATGGTAGTTCGCCTAGTTCCCAGCTGCGCACCACAAACTCGTGAAATTTGATATGGAGTGCAAGGGCCCCATGCTTCCAGACTTCAGGTGGAATTCCATCAACCCCAGCTGCCTTGCCAATTTTCACCTGCTGTATGGCCTTAAGAGTTTCTCCCATAGTAGGGGCAGTGTCAAATTCATTCTTCACCGGTTGCTGTGTGATGTTCTGAATTGCTGAATCTTGCACTACACGGCTAGTACTGAAGAGGGTCTGAAAGTGTTCATACCATCGGTTCAGAACGGTGGTTTTATCTGTCAGAAGCGTTTGGCCATCCGCACTGAGTAGAGGGCTTTGGACCTGGTATGTAGGCCCGTATGCTGTTTTCAGGACCTCATAGAATCCTCTGTAATCACCTGTATCTGTGCATAATTGAATATTTCCTGCTAGATTGTTCCACGACTTGTTCTGGATGTCACGAAGTTTCTGTTGGAGCTTGCTGCATGCAAGACGAAAGGCTGCTTTTCTGACATGGCAAGATGGCTGAGCAAGGCGTGCTTGATGAGCAGTTCTCTTCTTCCTCAACAATTCCTGGATCTCTTGATTGTTTTCATCAAACCAGTCCTTGTTTCTCCTTGAAGGAGAACCCTAAGGACTCTTCAGAGGATTGCAGGATGCTATTTTTAATATGTTGCCAAAGTGTTTCAGGAGAGGGATCTTTG